ATTACTGAGCAGAGTGAATAGAAAATTATCTTATTAGAAGATTGAACAGAAAAGTACAATCAATCAAAGAAGTTATAAGGTTAGAAATTACTCAATTAAAAATGTAAACGAGTACATCTTTGAAGTTTTACAAGTTTCTTACATATTGGACAACGCTTTGATATTTGTATAGCTTGTGTCAAACAATTTTGGCAGAATATATGTCCACAAGGAGTAGACATTGGTCTGTTATCAGAAGATAAGTCTTCGTAACATATTGGACAAGATAATGCAGCTAGAACTTTTCTTTCTTCACATTTGCTATTATTACGAATTCCAATATTTTCATCAGTTGATTTGATTTTATCTAAGTCTATTATCTCCTCTGATTGTGTATTATTCGGTGGATTGTCAACTGGAACTTGTCTAAACACAATTTATTTAATGTCTAAACACATTAAAATTGATAAAATAATTTCTGAATAATATTAAAACTCAACATACATAACTGAATCTTGACGCATTATATGGTTTCTCTGTGATTTTCTTATCCTTCTCTTACCGGATTTATCGTCAATATTTATATTTCTTGTACGTAGGGCATTATTCACTGGAGAATCTATTGTTAAATCAATGTAGTCTATAGGATGTGACATATTTCTCGCGAAAATTCAAATCCGTCTTCTTATCTGGTGTGTTGTGTTTGCATACACATATGCGAAAAATCAAGTTCATGAAATCACTAAAACAGGTTATATTATTGCAAATGAAATTTTATTTAAAGTGAAGTTGATATTATTTTATTATTGTATAGCTTCACAACACATGAAAAGATTTAAACAGTGTTGGCGTAGAAATTTGGTAATTAACGTACTACAATTAATAGTAATTTACGTACTACAGCAGTAGGTGTAAGTACTTATACATATGTATGTAATGTACACATTTTACTAACCGTCTTATCCTAATCGTTCTTCAAATATCACGTTTTTTATATTCTTAGAAATAAAATTAAATATATTAAGTTGTTTAAAAATTAGATTGTAAAAATTTATCAATTTATATATACATCGAAAAACTTTTATGCTTCTGCAATGTCCACGAGTTAACCGTCTTCACTACAATTTAAATATGAGGATTGATGTGCTTATTACTTAACAATCTCGTTATATATAGTATGAAGTGAACTGTTTTCAACTAAACACTGAATGTGCTGAAATACACAGTACCTAGCCCTAGTGTGAAGTAGCGTGCACTAGCGTAAGCACGTATGTACATATATTGATGTCAGGCCGCTTAGAGACGCTATTGTGTGTTTGTATGTATTCGCTTGTGTTTTGTGGTTTATCATGTTTACAACATACATTTATCCTGATTTTTATTACGTAAGTAGTATTAAATTCCTAAATAAAGCATGTGGAAAGTATTTCTTTAAAAATATAAATATTTCTATACGATCACACAGTTTGTATATCTCTTTTTTATACAGAATACAGCAATAACAAATTTAAAAATTATGATTAGTTTACATATAGAAACAAAATCAAACAGTTACTCTAGATTCAAATGCATATGTTATTTATGTTTATATTAAAATTCAAATGTATAGTTTTACGATTTGACAACAGATGACAGCAATAGGTGACCAGTCCAATATTGCCGTAATTCTGCCCTCTGCCCTTACATTTGTTTGAGCCCTCTCACTACGATGCAAAATACAAAGTCCTTCAGATCCATTGCTAGCTTCAATTTTACTGTGTATCCAATCCGTAGTGATTTCTGTGTTAGCATTGAATTATCAGCCAATCAGAGCATAGCAGTTCACTTCATTTCCTATGCACAAGCACCTATGACTGCACCCGGTCAGAGTGCTTGGACGTGGATTACTGTACATAGAATATATAATATACAGACTGTCCCAAAAATGTCTTGCAATGCGGAAATGGGGGTTTCCTAACACCATTTAAAGTAACTTTTTCCTTAGTGAAAATGAAATCTACGGCTTTGTTTACGAATTATTAACGAAAAACAGTGACCAATGAGTGGTGAGCTCGGTTGGCGCTAGATTGCCGAATCAATGAGTGAAACTAGGTTTCGCGCGCTCGTTGATTAGGCAGCCACACGCCAGCCGAGCTCGCCTTTTATTGGACAGTGTTTTTTGTTAATAACTCATAAACAAAGCCGCAGATTGCATTT